TTGGACGTGTTTTGACTTATGAAATGTCATCACACAGCTCTTGGAAGGGGAAAAAGTGAACCGCCACTTAGAGCTGTAATTCTCACATGTTGTTACCATCAATTGGAGAAAGGATGTTATCAGACTGATAAGAGAGATGTCATCCGCTTGAGTTGGTGCTGAGATATGAAGATCTATAACCATGGAACCTTTCTTTGCAGTTGACAGAATCCCGAGAAGATCGTTAATGTAAACCAAATACAGTTTGGCAGAGAGCACACTTCCTTGTCTCAAGCCTCTCTCAAGGTTGAACCAATCAGACTGGATGTTGTTCACCATGACACAGCTTTTCATTTCAGAGTAAGTGTTGCTTAATATCCTCCATATTGCAGTAGGTATATTCAGTTCTTTAAGTTTCCAAAGAAGACCAGAGGGCCAGACGGTATCAAATGCTTTGCTGCTGTCTAGGAAAACCACCTTCGGTGTGTCCCCCCTCTCTAAGTAGTGTTGAACTGTTTCTTGGAGTATAAATGAAGTATGAAGAGATGAAAGGCCTTTCTGAAACCCGTATTGGTGAGGGTCCGGGAAGGATTTGCAGTTACTAAATTCAGGAATTCTTCTGCACAGTACCATTTCAAATACCTTTGAGATGACAGGTAGAAGAGTCACACCTCTGTATGAGTCTGCTGAGGCTTTGTCTTTTTTGTTCCTTTTGTATATTGGAACGATTTAGACCTTCTTTCCATTGCTTAGGAATATAGCCAGTGGTCAATACTCGGTTGAACAGTTCTGACACGTAGTAGAACAGATAGGACCCGCCATACTTCAAGTGTTCATAACACAAGCCATCAATTCCTGCAGCCTTATTGTTATTCAGTGATTTGCACAAGGTTTCAATCTCTTTAACGGATGTAAGAAGGTCGTGAACATCGTGATCATGGGAGCCAAGTTCCTGTTTGAGTTGGTCGACTTTAGTTTCTATTGTTTCCCTAAAATCATTATCAAAGTGCTCTTCCTGGATATTGCTGAAGACTAAACGCATATGGCCTGCCATAACATTGCAGATCTCCTTCTGGTCCATTGTCAGTTTATCACCTGTACGGATTGATGAAATTTGTCTCTTCCTGTTAGAGGTCTGTAACACTGCCAAGAAGGCTTTCTGATCAACATCATAGAGTTTGTCAAGGCTACTGAAGTAACCCTTTTCAAAGTCTGTTGCAGCTTTTCTCATCGCATTCCTGAATTTCCTTGTATGCTTTGTATGAAGCATGCTGCATTCCTCTAGGTTTCCCATCTGTTATCCATTTTCTTCTTGCCTTTAACATGGAGTCATGGAATCTTTTTACCTCGTTTTTCCAATAAGGTTTAATGTATGATCTATACTGACTAACTGGAATCCAATCTTTCGCTGCCTCTGTAAGTGTTTCAGTGATAGCTTTATACATAGTTTCAATAGCTTCGTTAGAACATTGAGTTGGAGGTATGACTTTTCCCCAAAGAGTGTGAGATACTGCATATGTGTAGTCCCTTACACTGCCGTTGAACACCGCTTTATCCCACAAAGGTCTCGAAAAAAGTGACGCATTTGTCTGTTTGGAGGCCGTGTTGATCTTCAAGCAGCAAAACACAGGGTGGTGATCAGATGTATTGAAAGGGTTGTCCCCCCTTACCTCTGTACTGATGACCAGCTCCAGTAATTCAACTGGTACGAGGATGTGGTCTATTGGAGTTTCTGGGCCTCCATCGTATGCTTGAAAAGTGAAGACTGGGCCTGTACAATAATCCTGCATATTCACTGAAGTTAACGCGTAGTGAAGAGCTCCATCAGAGAGCTCCTATGATCGGTCTGAATATGATATCTTGGACCTTTTAGTTTGGCATTCAAGTCTCCAAGAATTATCACAGAGCCAGTTTGTGAGAATGCAGAGTAGATATCATCAAGTTGTTTGAGGGAGTGCCTTAAGAGGTCATTTGAACGGTTTGCAGGTGGCATATAAACACTAAAGAAATAGAGAGTTTGAATATATGGTAACGCCAGTTCGATACCTGTCACTCGGTCATACTCAAGGGTAATTTCGTGGATGAAGGGTTGAAGTCGTTTGTGACATAAAAAACGAGCATCGTTTGAAGAAGGCGCTTCTGTAACAATACCAAAATAGTCAGCATTCAGGGAGTCCATGAATGAGAAGTTGAAGGTCTGTAACTGATGATCACTGATTGCACATATGTCAACGCAGTGTTCTAAAAGACAAGTATTGAGATAAGTGACACTTGTCATGATTCCACGACAGTTCCATGTCATAAGTGTTAAGTTGCAAGCTTGGGCTAAGTTGAATTGATTCGTCATCACTTGGAATACATTTCGTTCTGTTGGTGTTTATCATCAAATTGTTGCCAGAACTTGACTTTGCTTAACCAAGGTTTTACAATGATATATTGTGGCCAGAAGTCAACATTTTCAAATAAGCGTTTGTCCTCTGCCAAGACATTCAATTGTGCAGATGCGTATGGTTTTTCTGGTCTATTAAAAAATTTCATATGAGTAACAGTCACACCTCTGTCAGACAGCTTCTTATGGCTTGTTCAGAGCACTTTTTATTGAAACGACCAATGTAGTAGCGAATAGTTCTGTGTCTTGGAGGAGCAGAACAGAACTCTGCTGAATCATGTGTTTATTGCACTGCACTGGTCGTTACTTATGTGGACCTTGATTGGATTTGGAGTGACACGTTCAGGGGCTGTTGTAAAACTGATGACTTTGCTTCTGGGATCGTTGATATAAACATCTCTCCTTCCAGACTGATGTGACATCACAGCTTCCTCCGTCTGAGCAATATTTGTGAGAGACAATATATCTCTTGTTGGGATATCAGGAGCTGGCTGCCTTACATCTCTCGTCGTGGTACCAGGTGTTTGCTCATCTACAGATCTCGTTGTTTTCTCAGGACTAGGGGAAGTCAGCAATGTTTGCAATAATTCAGTAGCTTCTTCCTCACTGCGTGTTGCAGTGACAGTAGGTTGGGTTGTTCCCAGGACAGTAGCGTGTACTATGTTCCTTCTGTTCAAGTTCGGAATCTCGGTGTTCGTGCAGGATAAATTCGTATCTTCGGTTGTAGAACCATAGTTCACACTGTGTTTGGTGATATCTGCATATGTGTATGCTCTAGACTTTCTGCAATCTCTCTCGACAGCATTAATAATTTTTCTGACATCACCAACTGAGTTGGAACAAGCCTTGCATTGCTCATCTATTGTTTTCATATCTTCTTCTATTGATGAAAATCTTTGGTTAAGGAGAGTCACTTTTGATTTAATCGAAGCAACCCCAAGCTGTCGCTCGTCCGATATGTGTGAAATATCCAGACAACCGTCGTCCACCCTACTCTTGAGGTCATTAACCATATCTTTGAGGTCAATGTGACGTGTCTCAAGTCTATCTCCAGATTTCACAAGTTTTTCTATTTTTTCTTCAGATGTAGCTGACTCTGATTTGATTAGAATCATAAGGTCTCGTTTGTACGCAGAAAGCTTGCTTTTAACGTCCTTTATTTCGGATGAGAACAACTGAGTATCATCCGAATTCATCTTATTTGCTGTGCGTAGCTGTTCTACAGCCTTACCTACTTTTCCCCGCAGGGTCTCCATTGCTACTTTTGTCTTAACAGTTTCACTGCGTGCAGCTTCAATTTCTCCCTTCATTACATTGTTTGCCTTCTCAAGCTGTTTTATTTTATTATGTAAGCAGTCCACGTCTTGCGTGTATTCTCCCTGCAATGTAGCAAGGTCTCTCTCCAGGCGAGCTATTGTCTCACTGATTGATTGGACGGTGGCTAGCGGCTGAGCGTCGTTTGCAAGGGTAGGTCTTTTTTGTGTAGATTTAGAACATCATAAATATCATCACTTATTTCACCAACCAATGTTCTGAACAAAACAAAACAGTCTTTAGCTAATTTTTCAAGTTTTTCACCTCGTTTTGACCATATATCTTTCCTCCTTTTTAGAATGCTGTCTTGATATGAAAAGGATTCCTTTTGTTTACATAAGTCAAACAGATAGTTTCTCAAGTCTAGTTTAAATTCGTGAAAGACTTTTCCAGCATTGCAAGACCTCTGTCTGAACGACACAACGACTATAGTATGAAAGTAGGGTCAGGAGCAAGAAACAGATTTTGAGGAGATCAAGACATGCCTTTCACCCCCTCCCGTTTTAGGGTATGCTGATTACACAAAGCCCTTCGAGCACTATACAGATTCCAGCACTCAGGGTTCGGGAGCAGTACTGTATCAGCACCAGGATGGCAACCGACGAGTCATAGCATATGCAAGTAGGGGATTGAAACCTTCTGAAAGAAACTACTCGGCACATAAACTGGAGTTTCTGTGTTTAAAGTGGTCAATTTCCGAAAGGTTTCATGACTATTTGTAAGGCCATGACTTTGTGGTGATGACTGACAACAATCCCTTGACGTACGTTCTCACCACAGCTCGATTTGATGCTACTGGACTCCGTTGGTTAGCTTCTCTAGCCAACTACAACTTTACCATCCAATACAGATCAGGAAAATCCAACATAGATGCTGATGCCCTGTCCACATTGCCTCAAACAGAACATCAAGTACAAATAGAAGGGGTCACCAAGGACTCAATAAGAGAAATATGTGATGTTTTACAAGTTTCTAACCTTGTTAAAAGTTTGATTCTCTCCGCCCCTGACACAGATTAGCAAGAAGAGATAACTGAAGACAGATGCGAGTTTAATGCCAGGTATTGGAGACATACTGAATCAAAGGATCCAGCGGTTGGTATCATCATTGATAACCTCAGAAAGAGGACTAAACCAGACAGGACACATTTTATTGGGAGTCAAGAGAAGACAACGCTGTTGAAGAGTTTTCAGTACTTTCAGCTAAAGCGAGGTGTTTTGTTTTGAGTCATCAAGACAGATGGAGAAGAACAAGAACAGTTAGTCCTTCCAACAAGATTTAGATCGGCCGTATTGCGTAGGCCATAGGGCTGGTCTGCATGGCCTTTATCACCCTGGAGCCATCAAAGGGAGGACAGCAACATGTTCTAGTAGTGACTGACCACTTAACCCGCTATGCCAAGGCCTACACAACCAAGAACATGACGGCCAAGACAACCCCTGAAGTCTTCTTCAACAATTTCATTATACATTATGGGATATCTAAGCGTATCCTTTCGGATCAAGGAGCCAACTTCACTGGGAATCTCATGCAGGAGTTCTGTGAACTTCTGAAAATCAACAAATCCCGAACTACACCATATCATCCAATGGGGAATGGGATATGTGATTGTTTCAACAGGACTCTCTGCAACCTGCTTGGTACTCTTGACCAAGATAGGAAGAAGACTCGGAAAGCCTATATTGGACCATTAGTACACGCATACAACTGTACTCGCCATGAATCAACAGGCTTTGCACCATTCATCTTGATGTATGGACGCCATCCACGTCTCCCGGTTGACATAGCTTTTGGACTTGACATGGATTCATCCAAGTCAAAATCAATGACCTGTTGCATCAAAGATTTGAAAGATCGTCTCACCTAAGTGTATGACATAACTTCTTCTGCAGCTGAGAAAGTCCAGTCCAGGAACAAGAGTTTGTAAAATCAGAAAGCAAGAGCAGCTGTCATTGAGAAGGGAGACAGAGTACTTGTGACGGTGGTTGCCTTTGACAGACGGCACAAGTCAGCAGGCAGATGGGAAGAAGATATTTATGTAATCTTGGACCTACCAAATCCACACTTACCAGGATTTGTCGTTGGTAAGGAGACTGGACAAGAACGGACAAGAACTTTGCACAGGAATTTATTGCTTCCTTCAGTTCTCTTCCCAATACAGTGCCTGTACCTAAGCCAAGACGAATGGAGTCTCCACAACCTAAAGGACGTGTGTAAAAGAGACACCCAGAGAAGATACAACAGGCATCTCACGGGATGACGATGAACTAGAAGATGGAGAAGATATAGTGTTAGTCACTACTCATTATTCGAACTCGATCCAGCTGACAGGCCACCTGAAGACATGCCGACCGAAGATATTGAGAGTGAGGACCAGAACACTGATGTTGATGGAAGGGATGAGATTGTAGATGAACAACAGGAACAGCCTACAGAAGAACCTCCAGTTCCACTAGTGGATGTCCGACTAGACGGAGAACCTGCTGCTGCTGCACTGGTGCCACCAGTACCACCGACTCCTCAAGCAAGGAGGTCTATTCACCTTCAGTGTCTGCTTTTAAGTGTTCAACTTTTATGTTTAATAGTTGGTTGAGATTAGTTAATGTGTCCTCCATATTGTAAGCCTTAACAAAGCCAAGCCATGACGTGCTCAACTGATTGACCAAGCTAACCCTCAAAGTTGACCCTTTGTCTCACTGCATGTTCTCAGTCTGCACACATTTCTTACACAGACATGTTGGCAAGTAAAATCATCTAAAATCAGGTTAGTTTATTACGTTTGTGTATATTTGTATTGTATGTTATTGCATTTACATGTTGCAGTATATTAAACCTATAATACTAAAGTTACCTAAACGTGTTTAATATACACAAAGAAAAAAGTTAAGCACACCTCTATTTCTGAACCATGACAAATGGCAAAAATCACGGCATGGGATGACTGACCTCAGGAGATGGTCGATACCAAGAACATCGGAAATAACATTGGGAAGAACAAACATTTGACAACAAATAAGGAAGATATTGGTGAGTTGTGATTAAAATTTACTGACAAAAACATAATGGTAACACAGGTACTGTTTTGACCTTAGACAATACCTAAAAAAAAGTATGGAGCTGCAGGATTAAGTAAACGAGTTACGTTTGATGTTTCATGTGAAAATGTTCCTTAAAGTCTCTACTTGACAGGACACGTAAAACAGATCAGTAGCGGTTATAACTGCCACGTGCCCAGATGACGCATTCCACCCTACGTGTCATGCCTCCAGTCAGACGTTGGATATGTTGATGGGTCAACAACAACCACTCCTGATCCAGTGCTGCTTCCAATTGCCTTAAATCTTGTACAGGAGGATCTCGTGTCCGTATGCGTCGCCCCAGAATATGCCAAACATGTTCAAGGGGGTTCAAATCTGGGGTCATTGCTGGCCTTGGTAGAGTCGTTATTGCATTGGCCCTCGTGTAATCCACGACTGCATGCGAGCGATGAGGCCTGGCATTGTCATCCATGTACTGAGGTCGAGTAGCAAGAGGGTAGTTACCCGGCTGTATTTTAAACGGTTAACCCACAAATTTGATAAATTGAAAATGGCCGCGCACCAAACTTTAAAATTATTTTTTGTCATATCTTTGGTACTAAACATGGTTGGGCCACAAATAAAACATTTCTCTGTATGTTTTCATGTACAAGGAATCCATTGTTAACCCACAATATGCCAAGAAATCAAGATGGCCGCCATATTAGGGCAAATTCGATTATTAACTGCGTCTGATGCAAACAGTCTTATTTACATGAGTGACATAACTTTATCATACTATATGGTTGTAGTGTGGGAGAAACTAACTGTAAATGATACAGCTATAGTTAAATATAGTTGTTTGCCTTCACCGCTAACATTTTTTAATGAAAATTCACACAGTTGTGTCAGTAATCAAGGTAGTATAGGAATGAGCCGCATAGTGAATGTGAAATCTCATCTGTATAACTTTTCTCATATTAAATATCAATTCATGCATGAAACATATATAACATTGCAGAAATATAAAACTTTTATCTTTTATTTGTAATTTTACATAACTAACTGTGTGTGGAGGTCGACTTGGTGATATAGTTTATGTACGATCAGGTTGAATGTTTCTGCATTCCTCGGCATGTGACATTTGCAAGCTTCAATGCACAGTAAGCGAATTTTTCTGCTGCCACAGAGCTAACTCAGGCATCCATTGTAGCATCCGCATGACATGATCTCTGAGCATGCTTTTGGGATGGGCGGTAGAGAGAGAAGTCGTGGTACCAGCTGCCCATCTTTGCGATCCCAACCCATATCTGTTACCATGGGAAGAACTGGAGAAGGCACATGGGCTTGAATCCAGACACTGGCTTGGTAATGGCTTCGCATGAAATCGTGCCGTATCAGATGTGGGGGTGAGGCTTCTTGTGCTCGTCCTACACAGAACAATTTAACTGGTGCCTCGTCACACGGGTCCGCCTCGGGTACTCCATATAGCTGACATATGAACTTCTCTGCAGATTTTGAGATGTCGTCAGTGAAGTTACCCATTCCCAGATGGCTCAAGTTGCTGTGTTGATGCTGGAAGACACACCAGGCCGTCTTTTTGCTGTGGCCACTGAGCTGGGAAACACTGTCACATCAAGTAATTGCATGGAAAGCTATCAATGATGATATTTGGTCGATGGGTAATTGACGATGAATCTCATGTACTGGGATATATTTAGGATGTTTGGATGTTCCAGCTTTCATCAACAGATTCGTGCATCACTTTGGTGATGCCGGCCAAGCCCCCACTCTTCTTCCCAGTGGCATTCAACCATTCTGTACTTTGGTCTGGAGAAACTTGGTTAATCGTCGGTTTGCATGTTTGACCACAAAATGTCCCTGCTAGAACTCATGCAAGATGTTTGGTGGGAGCTGGGCCATTTCAGCCCGGTAGACCGTCCCCCATCGGGCATAGCTAGTTTACGTGGTCATATCTGAAGAATAAAGGGAGCATACGTCTGAAAGCATACAAGTGGAGTTCCCATGATGCATCACGCTGTGCCCTGGTAAAATCAAGTAAGATGCTGACCATCATCATGTAATCCCATCAGAATTCTGCATTCGGGTCTTCTTCTTTTAGGACTTTGATGAAATTAAGGATTGGCTGGTGGAACCCCTCAGATGTCAGGGTGTCTTCCATATGTGCAATATCTTCAGTGTCTAACAACGCCCAAAAAGATTTCAGTTCTTTCCTCAGCTCAACATCAACAGAGTCCGGATGTTCATTTAGTTGAGGGAGGAGTACTTGCCACATAGCCTGCAAAGTTAGTTTGTGTGTTCGCATTGCACGACCATAGCCTTTGCTGGACATCACATTCTGAGCTGACCCGTGAAGATCCGGGGTAGAATAGGTCTTCAGCAACCCATGCTTGCCGTAAAAGGTGACTATGCTTGTCGTAAAAGGCGTCTAACGGGATCGGGTGGTCAGGCTCGCTGACTTGGTTGATACATGTCATCGTATCCCAATTGAGTGGATCGATGCTCATGATGTCAATCACTTGATTGTCTGGTCCAGACTCGATTATTTACAGACCGCCGTCATATAGCTGGAATATTGCTGAGTGCGGCGTTAAACAACAAACAAACAAAAAACAAAACATTCTGAGCTGCATTGGCACCCAATACATTACATTCTATCCAAAACTCACACAGGCCAGATTCTTCCATGTGACGGCCTAGGACTTCAAGAAAGTTAATTCCTATATGCAGTACTCCGAGGCAGCGTATTAGGACAACCTTGTATTGGTCAACAGACCACATCAGTTCCATCAACTTTGGATATAGACCCTCGTCAACCGTTAGAATCACATGTTCCTGTTCCATAGATTGAGCTATGTGCAGTACTCGCCTGACGACAGTGTTCAGCGAATCAATGTCGTGTGCAGGAGCCGTATTATGGATAGATATCCTACAGATGTTTGCTCTGGATTGACCATGCTTGCATTTTCAATGAAGGAAGTCCAAGAAGGCATTGGTTCCTGCAAAGATCGAGTCATTGTGAATGCCATGTCAGTCGCGTGTGCTTTCTTTGCTGCCGGACATTAATCCATTCATCCATTGACTGTGTGAACCAAATAGTGTTGTGTGCGTGCTTGACCGTGGAGAACAATAACTTCATACACACCATCCATGCGTTTAGCCAACTTATCGTTGAATGTATGTGCTCCCTCGACTCACAAATGATGACGGAATTGCAATGTCCGCTTTATTGGCTAGTGTGCAATATCTTTCCCACACATCAGTAAGTAGTAGAATGTCAGCATGTGATGCTAATTGTTGAAGCTCATGACAAAGCTAAGTGAATACCACATCACTGGCATTTTCGGGTGATTTGCAAATTTTGTCAGTGCTACGTTTGAATCTTACATGGCAGCTGCTGTGATGTTTGCTGTCAGTTGCAGTGAGGTCGTTTACACAGGACAGTCGTGTCCTCAAAATAGGGTCGTACTTGGCTGCTTCCAGGACCCGTTTGCTAACTTGCTTCTCTTGTATAACATGAACTTTTTCCTTGGTCTCTTTTTGGAAATCTATGCACATGTTCCACTTCATCTGTTCCACATTGCTTCGTAGAAGGGTCTTTTGTGCAAAGGTTGTGGGCACTGATAAACTAGACTGAATTTCATCAAATGTTACATCTGCAGCCTTTGTAAGAACTCGTATAGGAGGCACAGCATCCATTGTGACATGCTATCGATGGAGAAGGACACAAAGCTAACACATCAGTCAGCCGGTTAGTTGCAGATCTAAAATTGCCATTCCGTAACTTCTGCCGAGTTTGCCTTGCATTATGAATTGTCTTTAGGCCATC